TTGGGGATACTACTAGAAGACGGACACAGCCAGCATTGACAATCCCCTTTCCATGGAGATGATAGAGCTTTTCAGACTGCCAGTCTCTGCAGAGTGGGAGCAATTTCCCTGTAATTGGTAAAGTAACCGTAACTGCTCTGTCATTTGTATGTAGCGACACGTAATTGCACAGTAACCTTTGCCGCTATGCACAAGGGAAGCACGGTAAGCTATTAGATTGTAATTCGGATTGTCAGCTCCGGCTCCCTATGCCACCTTACCAGGGCTCTTGCTGCTCAGCGGACCATTGGGAGGCTGCCACAGGGCCACTTGGCACCCAGGTCCAGCTGGAGTCCTGCCCTCTGGTAGCTGACTCAGCCAAGAAGGGCTGGCCATGGGGACAAAGGCCAGGATAGGGAGCCTCATGGCTGGGATAATGATGTAGGTACCCAGCCCCCATTCAGGTCTTCTGATGGAGAGGAGTGGCCTGGGTTACAGATCTAAGATTTTTAAGATCCGAGGGATCATTTCTTTACTCCTTCATCTGGCCTCATTGGTCCCACATCTCTTCCATCTGACAGATCTTTAGGAGGTGTTACCTTGTCTATTTATCTTGACCAGTCTAGACTCTTGATCTTGATAATACCTGCAAGGTAGATGCCATAGATTTTCTTAGTGATGCTGAGCCTCACAGAAATCAGCTGACTTGTCAACATGCCCACAGCATTGATTACATGCTAAATGTGTCAGTCTCCATGGCACTGTGAAGTATGTGCTGTTATTAAAACCCCCATTCTACAGGTACAGAGAGTTTAATTGACTTATCCAAGGTCACAAGGTATTAAGTAGCAGAGGATGGGAGTCCAACCTAATTCCATACTGTTAGCCACTGTGAAACCTAGGTTTTATTTAGTTATTCATCCATCCATCCATTCATCCATTGAACACATGTCTTAACCTACTATGGGCCAAGGATTAAGGGTACAAAGACTCAAAGGAGCTTATAGTCCTTGAGCTCATAGTCCCCGAAATTCAGTGAATCACTCATCTTAATTTACAACACACATATCCCATGTGAATTATGGGGGTGATGGACTAAGGATACAATCTTCCCTGACTAGGGAGAGAGAAGACACATAGGGGCATGGCCCTGCCAAAGGCTCCTAGGTCTGTTGGTGGTGTTTCTCAAATGGGCACCAAATAAATCCCTTTGTAGTAGATCTGCCCTTCATTTTAAGAATGGCATTTCCCTGTAATCAATAAGCATCATAATGGCAGCTGTAACTCACTCATGGGTGTTTGTGGAGTAGCTGGTGAGGATTAGCATGTCTAGCCTCCTGATTACAGCTGAGACTCACCCTGGGTCCTCTGCTTATGGCTCTAATCTCCCTGTTAATGGGACCCAAGGGAAGACCAGACCAAGGCCAGAGCAGATTCTCTCCATCTCCATTGCCCAGGGTGCTCAGGAATTTACCTGCTGAAAGCTTTCACCAATTAGTCTGGAAGCTCAGCATTTGCTATCTCTCTGATTCTTAGCCTATAAGCCCTAAGGGGCCCATCCTGCTCCTTTCCTGTGCTGTAATTATCCCATAGCTGCTGCTCAGGAGATATGCTAGGGCCACCTCTCTGCAGCTACTCTTCTGGGCTGGATTTCTTGTGGAACATTCCCATGAAATGCCCTTCATTGTTGAAGTATATCCAGGTCATCATGGGTTCATTTACTCAATCCTCATGACAGTTTTGCCCAGCTGCTGACAGCCAAGGAAAGTGAGGCTCAAACAACTGTGGGAGCAAGTTGTATATCTAGGAAGCACCTAAGTGGTCCAATCCTGTGTGTTCCCCGCTTCCCCACTACTATTTTACTGTGAAAAAGTCCCTCACCCATCATCCCAGCTTTGAGGAAACAGAGCCAGGTCATTTCCCATGGCACCTGGAAGACCTCAGTAGTCACCCAGACTTAGACTGTTCTCGGTCAAAGGCCTTGATCATACCTTCCTTACTTGGGCCCTACCCAGAGGGAGAAATTGAGCCATGGAGAAGGCTGGAGAAGTAGGTGTCATTGTTCTGGATGCCTCTTCCCATGTTCTCCTAGGGCACAAGTGGGGAATCTGAGCCCCCATCTCCTGACTGAACCTGTCAGGTTGCCTGCCCCACGAGCTAAAGAAGGGAAGAACCCTGGGCTTGAGTTTTAAGGCTTGAATGGCCTTCCCTTCCTTACTGGAAACATTCTTCCCTTAGGCCTCCTGCTGTATGACGCGCTGCAGCAGAAGTGACCCAGAGGTTCCTAGCTTTCTAACTCTGAACAACTATGATGCAGTGATGTAGTTATCCAAATGCATGCTCTGCTTTTATAGATGGCTTTGAGTTGCTTGATTAGCCAAGGTGAAGAATTGTGATCAGTAACCTGGCTGCTCAGAAATACAATTCTAGGGACTAAGAGAGAGGAAACATCCCTCACTAGATTAATGAGGAATGTGTGGAAGTAGCAGAGGAGCAGTGAAACACAGACTATCTCTTTCCATGCCTCAGTTTCCCTTTAGGAAGAGTAGATAATCCTTTGACCTTGTTTATTTGGAAAATAGGTCCTTATGGGGAAAATGCAAGATTTTCTGGTGGCAGAGGTCCTATAGCACAGTTATCTCAGGCAGGCCTGAGAACATTAGAGATGTGGTTCCCTGTAAACAGGATACAGCCATAGTTAATAATGATGGAGAGCCAAGCAACCCAGACTATACTAGGATCACTGGTAGGTTGCTGTGGTTGAAGCTAGGATAGGACAGATAGCATCCTTCTATCATCCTTCTCTTCTTTCTTCTATCCATCTCATTTACCTTCTGCTATCTTTTTACTTTCCCATTTCCTCAGTAGAAGAATGATAGAGGTCACGCTAGACCTTGAACACTTTGCCCTAAGTTTGTGTCTTATGGTTCTTTTTTTGTGATATGGAGGGCATTGATCTCTGAGCTTTGCACTTGCTATGCAGGTACTCTACTATTTGAGTTGCACTGCCAGGTCTTTTTGCTTTTGGTTGTTTTAAAGATAAAGTCTCTAGATATTTTACCTGGGGCCAGACTACCTGGACTATGATCCTCCTATTTATGCTTCCTTTGTAGCTAGGAAATGACAGGAACAGGCCACCACACCTGACTTTTTGCCTGGACTAGCATCAAACCTTTATCCTTCCAATCTGCCTCCTGAGTAGCTGGTATTGTAAAAATGAACCATGATACCCAGCCATGGAGAAAGTTGTATTCAGTCTGGGATGTTGGACTAGGTGATGTAAGAGAGGCCAGACTCTGTCAAAAGCATGGGGCAAACATCAATTCTGCATGTGGTTACTCAGGCCTAGCCATGGTCCCTCTGTCTTTCCTGACTGCTGCCACCATGGAAGAAGGGAAGAGGCCACAAAGAGCTTTATATACTCAGCACATTGTTCTTCCTGAGGTGGATGATTCTTGCCTGCTCCACTTCTGACATGGAACAGAAGAGCCCCAGGCCCTAGAGAACTGAGTTGGCCACAGTTACAGGGCTATATTGGCAGGAACCTGCCTGCTGTTCTCTAGGTGCCTCTTACTTTGGCTGGATTGAAGCCTTTTAAAAAAGTGACACCTTGTATTTTATTTCATTCCTTTCTCTGAAAGGCCCAAAGACTTTTACAGGCATGAGCTCAAGAGGCTTTATAGTAGCCCATCAAAAGGCAGGGTTTGTTTCCTTCATCTTTATAGAGTGGAAAATAAAAGCACTGGAAGACAGAGTAACTCTTCCAAAGCCACACAGTGCCTTCGAGAAAGGATGGATGACCAAATAAGTTTCCAGCCCCTCACAGAGCACCAAACCCTGCGGAGAGCTGGGGCTTCTAAGCTACCATTTGGAGTTATTTACACTCCCTGAATCAACACAATCCTGAAAGACCTGGCTGTTGTATGGGGTCCCTTTGATACACCGATATGGAGAGACCTGCTATGAAAAAAGAGGGAGATTAAGTGGAATCACTGTAGGGACTGACCTGGAAGCTCTTCCTTCCTGAAACCTGACCTCTAATGTTGTACTTCCTGGACCTAAAAGAGAAGAGTTGGGCCAATATGTCTCATAGGATAGCTCAAGAGTTTTTTCCCCCTTGCTTTCTTGCTTACTTTCTTTCCTTTTCTTTTTTTAAAGAAATGGCTAGCAGTTGTCTTTCTCAAAAATTGTTTGTAGGCAATTGTTTTGGGAAAGGCTCAGGTTAAACATATTTCTTAAAAAAAAAAAAAACCTTTCCATTCTGATGTCTTAGATTGCCTGGGGCTGTTTTCTATGAGTTTGTTCAAGGAGCCCATTTATGTGGAGAATCTTGGGGAACTCAGGTTCCATAGATAACATTTTGTGAAATACTGGTAGAGTTGTGACAAGGCCCTGGCTGCCTCTCTTTGCTGTGATTAAGAGATAGGGAGCCTCAGAGTGAACTCATGAGGTGTCACTGTGGCCTAAGGAGTGGAGGCATGAACTTCGCTTCTCCCTGGCCTTCTCCCCAGCTGATCCCATTGAATGCACCGCCCACCCCCACCCACTACAATCCTATTTTTCCCACACTAATAAGTTTAATCTTTATTCCACACTCCCAGCAAGTCTTTTCCACAGTAACTGTTCAGATGTGGGGACCACTTCCCTCTGTGCCAGAGCTTACCTATCTGGAGTCCATGTTTGTCTAGGGCTGGCCCAGAACTTTTCAATGCGACAGTGATGCTGGGCAATCAAAGGCACCAAAATGGCATCTGGAAGGTTTGTGAATATAGCAGAGAGATCATGGCAAAAAAAAAAAAAAGACCTTAAAATCTGTGTTTTTGCCACCATCCTATAATTGCCTACTTTAGGTAATTGGACAGATGATTTAGTTCCTCTGCAGCTGAGTTTTTCATAGGAGAAAGAAGAATTTGTATTAGATGATCCATTGATGAACATTTTTCTAGCTCTTGAGTTCCCTAACTTCACACCTCTGCCATTTCTCCTGTTTAACTTTTCTCCCCTCCCTGTTTAATTTTCAGCTCCTAACCATCGATGACAACTTCTGTGGCCTGGATATGAATGCCCCCCTGGGGGTCTCGGAGATGGTACGTGGCATTCCTGTCTTCACAGAAGACAGGGACCGTATGACTTCAGTCATTGCGTATGTCTACAAGAACCATTCTTTGGCCTTCGTGGGCACCAAAAGTGGCAAGCTGAAGAAGGTAGGGATAAAATACAGTTATTCTGATTATTGTAAAGACTGTCTGTCACCTCAGGGATAGAATCTGTTTTGCCAATTTCTGGTTGTCACCTGCCTGATAGACTGGTAAAACAGGTTGGAGTTGAGAGATTATGTTGCTATTGAGGTCATGACCATGTGTCCTATATTTGCCTTCGTATCAAGGTGTTTGTGGGAATCAGGCTTGGTGAATGAGTGGGTGGGTTCCTTCTTCTCTGGAGCTAGTTTGCTCATATGTGGTATGAGCCCAGCATTACTGGGACTGTCTGAATGAACGTTGCACTCTTCAACTCGGGTTTGTACCCTGATGCAAGGGCACAAGAGGTGGGCTGGGAGAGGGATGTGGCTGCCTGCACCCCTTCTCAATGATACATCCATCTGGAGTCTATTCATTGAACTGATGGAGAAAGGCACAGACCTGTTTTAGTTGGTAACGGGGCTAAGATCCAACTTATGGGATGAAGAAATACCAAATATGGGTGCCATGGGAACCTACACATTACTTAAGATGAAGTGGACTAATACCATCTAAGGACCTGGCCTGTTCCCCTTCTTCCCCAGAAGCTTGTTGGTTCCCAGGACACTGGACAATCTTGGCCCATTGGCAGTGATAGAAACAACTGATAATTCCAGGAATGTTCACTGCTAAGGCTTCTACTCTTAGTAAGTTGGAGCAAGCATAGCATGCTCTCCTCAATGGAGTTCAAAGCCTTTTTGACCGTGTAGGCCATATGTCTGTTTTCTGTTGGCTTTATAGTTGCTCTCTAGTCCTTTCCTTGGAAATTGTGGTGATTCCATGTGGTGGCTTCTGATTTGTTTTAGCCTCCCTTGCAAGTCTCTGGACCTCATATGATTCAGATTATGCAAAGAGCACTGCTCTTGAAAACTGAAGTTTGATCCCTACTTTCTGTTTGTTGTATTTCTGGACATTAGCTCCAGGTTGCAAATCTATAAGGCTGCATCCAAGTCTGTTTGGCCATCCTGCCATGAAACAGCCCAGAAAATGTCTCTGTGAACTTAGTATCTTTGTAGCATAGATTGTCTGGAATGTGACCTTGTCAAGAGACAAGGGGGCAGAATGAGTAAGAGTGGGGGAAGTGTGTGCAGAAGACCAGGGGGTAGAATGAGCAAGAGTAGAGGATGTGTGTGCAGAGAAACTATATGAGCAATGTATGGAAAATAAATAATATGCTCCACAGGGCACCCTGACACTGTGTGAGGAGGGCATGTACTGTATGTCTCGTATCAAACAGGAAGCGAGAACTTCCTCATTGTAGTATACTGCCTTCCATGTCACAACTAAAGAATAATTTACCCATTGTCTACACATCTTCAAGAATTATATTTCCTAGGTCCCTGCCCTTTCTGAGAAGAACATAGTAAATATAATTGAACCTTTTCAAGCTGCCTACTCTGGGTGATTTTTTACTGGAGATGCTTAGAGGAGATGCTACGGGCGTGGGTGTGCTGTCCCCACATAGCTCCTGTGCCTGATTGTTGCCATCTTCCTGGTTCCTAGTAGTCACTTCCAGTCAAATGCCTATTGGCTCCCGTACTTTTCCTCCTCCCTCAGTCTGGGGCATCCAGCTTCTCCTGAGCTAGGAAATCAGATAGCCAAATTTGCTGAAATTGTGTCTAGATAAGTATAGGAGCTTTTTAGCAGACAGGCACTCATGGACATTTTTCCTTCGCTGCTCAGATGGCTCTATTTTTTCCCATTTCTATTATTGAATGCTTTTAGTTTGCTAGAAAAGTGAGTGCTAAATCCCAAAGGCAGTGCTATAGTTTGGGTCTTGAATGTTCCCCAAAGGCCCAATTTGTTCAAAGTGTGCTGTGTGTATGTGTGGAAATATCACAAGGAAATCCCCTCTTATATAACTGTATTAACTCAAAATAAAATAAATAAATAATAATTTAAAAATAGGAGTGAGTATAAAAAGGATCTCTTTTTCCCATTAAAAAATTAAAGGAATTGGCTCTCAGGGTGGTGATATTGGAAGGTGGTATGACCTTTAGAAACTGGGACCTGCTGGGAGGCCCTGATGTCAAGAGGCCCTGATGTCATTGGAGACCATGACCTTGAAGTTGATTATGGGACTCTGTTCGTTTTCTTTTCTCTCTGCTCCCTTTCTTTTCTCTTTGCTCTCTGGTTCATGATGTAAGTGGTTTTGTTCTACTACATGCTCCTGCTATAGGACAATGGGGCCAAGCAATCTCAGATTGGAAACTTCAAAACTATGGGCCCAAATAAGCCTTCTCTATAAGTTAATTATCTCAGGTATTTCCTTATAGTAATGAGAAGCACTATTGAGAGTAAGTAATAGGCAAGGCTTGTGGGTGAAAGTTTAACTCTTCTCTAATGAGCCCCTCCCAGTGTCATGGAAAAGAACTTCTTCCATTGAATGAAAGTCCAATGACTTCCTCCATTGCTCTATAGGGTCCATATCATCAAATTTCCTATCAGCTGCCAGTGGCTCATGTACTTGCTGTGAAGACGGTAGATGAGTGTTTATTCTTTTTGTCAGTGTTGTCTGAGCCGATTGGAATATGATGTCCATGAAATGAACATTGAGAGTTCAGAACATATAACAATAGTTATGGGGGGGGAGGAAATACCCATTTCCTGACAGCTGCACTGTAAGTCTAAGACAGCCATCTTGCAAATGTGTGATGTTGGTCCCAGGCTGGACTGAGGCAGATGGCAGCTGATGCTCTCATCTGTAGAAGCTTGTCTCCTTCCAGGAAGGTCAAATGCAGATATCTCTATGAGCAAGGATAAGGATACCCCAAGAACCTGGGCAAACAAAGGCTCAGAAACAACCACCCTGGGGCAAGCAGAGCAGAGCCAGGCAGATGCCACTTGTCAGAAACATGTAACTGTGGGTTTGGGGCTTTCTAAGCCCAGATGCTGGCTTGTATTTCCCCCATTTTCTTTTCACGGGTTTAGATAAGAACAGCTCTGTTTCGTCCTCACGGGACCTTATATCTAATTTCCAGAGCAGTAGTGGGACCAGTGAGGCATAAACACTTGAAAGCTAAGAGCAGAGGGGTCATGTGGAGAGGAATGAGCCATCTCCCCTCCTGGGGAGCACAGTGCCATCGAGGTAGCTAAACTTTCTGCTCCATAGGCTCAGAGTGGCAGCAACTTAATAGGTTTGCCCAAGCCTAGCGTCCACTTCTGCAAGATCAGCACAGTTGGCCCCCAGGCTGGGGCTGAGAGGCAGGGTAAGGAGGGTGGGGGAAACAGTCTAAGTTGAAAAAGGAAGGTCGGGCTGCCATGTCTGTTGCTTGAAATAATAAAAAGCCAAAGTGGCCGGGGCTTATTTATTTATTTATTTTCTAGACAATAGAATTTCCCACGGCTCATCACTCACTGGGAGCCACATCCCTTTCCTTGTTAAAAAAAAAAAGTCTGACTTGCTTTTCTAAGAGATTATCAGACTGCCACCACCTTTTTGGGCAGAGGCCTGGCTATGGCAAACTGGAGGCTGTAGGAGGACTTTGCACCAAGTCTTGTGAGCGATTGAGCGCAGGGTGTGAGAATAATGGAAATCACACAGTAGCCGTAATTACAGAGTTGGCTTCTCTGAGCCCTGTAATAATCTCCTGTGTGTCTCAAGGGCCTTTCAGAGTTCTTGTCAGCAAGACAAGAAACTGGAAGTAGGCAAGGTGGGTGGGAAGGGGCTTGGGAGTTTGCTGAGAGGAAGGAGTTGGCTGAGTGTTTTGGGGTCTAGGAGCTAGACTGTAGCTATCCATAGGCTACCTTCAAAATTACTGACTTTTTATTTTGTTTGAAAGGTATGGGTCCCAATTATTCGCAACCTTGCCTTTGATGACCATAATTTCCCTTCTTGAGCACACACATCACATGAGGCAAGGGGAAAGGAGGTGAAGTAAACGCCAACTTGGATGTCTTTTGTGTATTTTCTGATATAGTGTGTGTGTGTGTCTGTGTGTGTGTCTGTGTGTGTCTGTGTCTGTGTGTGTGTGAGTGTGTATGTGTGAGAGAGAGAGAGAGAGAGGGGAGGGGGAGGGAGAGGGAAAGTGGGAAGAAGTTGCCAGGGAGGGACAACTAGCAATGGACAGGAGACTGAGCTACTCAGGAGACTGAGATCTGATTATTATGGTTTCAAGCTAACCTGGTCAGGAAAGTTTGCGAGTCTCTCATTTCCAATTAACCAGCAAAAGAAGCTGGAAATGAAGCTGTCATTCACATGGTAGAGTGCTAGCCTTGAGTGAAAAAAAAAAAACCAAAACTAAAGGATAGCACTCAGGCTCTGAGTTCAAGCCTCAGAACTTGCACCCGTACATACAAAATCTGGCATATGAACGAATACTCCACTGGCTGTTCAATTTTCAGCTATAATTGAAAACTGTGAGGCAAACACCATTTTGACTTGTGTAAGTCTTTATACATCTAAAAACCTTTCACTCTTGCTGGGAGACTGGGTCAGTGTTGTCTTTGAAGGACATGATCTTTTTGTTTGACTATTTCTGATGAAATCCTCTCTCTCTCTCCCTCCCCCACCTCTCTGTGTCCCTCACTGCCCCTTTGCATTGCATTCTGTCACTAAGTGATAATATTTTATGGTGGCTGCTCAGCAGCGAATTACTGCCTGACATTAGTGGGGAGACTAATGTTCATTGTGAACCAAAACATCATAAACTTCCACTTGAGGTGTGATTGCTCCTTTGTTTTGTGCTTGTGTCTTTCCTGGATTTTTTTTGGTATTTTTTTTAACAAGTTAAACTATTTGTCTGGGCACCAATTATGCCTATAATCCTAACCACACAAAAGGCTGAGATCTGAGGACCATATTTGAAGCCAGCCGAGGAGAAAAATCTGTGAGACTTCTATCTCCAATTAACCCCCCCAAAGCCAGAAGTAAGAAGCCATGGCTCAATTAATAGAATGCCAACCTTGAACAAAACTGCTTAGCATCAGCACCCAACCCCTGAATTCAAAGACAGCCACAAAACCAA